GGCAAATGATGACTATCGCTTCAAATGTATTTTTATAGTCTGACTCTAACAGATCTAAAATCCATTTGGTTTTACCCGAATTTGTTTTGCAGACGATTAAAGCGCAATGCGGTTGTGTCATTTTAACTTAACAGAGATTTAAAATTCCCGTCTTCCAAGTTCAATTGAGCATCCATGACCAAAAAGACGTACATCGTGAGGTCACCTTGGCTTTCGGCTTCTCTGTTAAATTGAATGTTGATGCCTCCTCCGTCTCCGAGTTTCCTACCGGATCCGTGAGCGGAATTGTCGTCGTTACTTCTAAAATCAAGCCACAGACCGTACGTGTTTTTTAGATAGTCTCCGAGGTCAAGACCCGTCAGATTTAAGTCTTTGGATACTCCACGCCCACTTTCGGTATCAATGTCTCCAAAGAACTTGATAATTTCGTTCCAGTGTTGATACTGAAACATGCCTTGACTGTAGAGTTGATTGGGTTTACCTTCTACTGTCACCGATGTTTTGGTTAGTTTTGGATTATAAAATCGCTGCGGATTTTTCTCCGTGGGATCTTTAAACAAAAATAAAATACCCTTGAGACTCCTGATGGGTTGATTGACGCTGACGTTCCAAAGCGTGTCCGATTTGTTGACGGATCTAACTTCTAGCGAGTGGATTTTATCAAACAGATATTGCATTAACCCCTTGTTTTTATTCCTGATGGTGATAGCTATCTGTTGGTCACCACTTCGTATTCGAGAGACAAGTCTGAGATAGAATACATCGCCGCCATATCTGAACTGTTGACTACTTTTTCGTGATCGTTAAACTTTATCTCGTACGTCAGAGGTTGTTTTAAACCGCTGGGGTAAAAAGGGTGATGCGAAGTCAGTATGTCAATGTCTAGGGGAATACAATATCTGTTACCATAGGCATCCGCGATGGCCTGATCTTTACCGTTGTTGGCGCCCGCGTTAGCATCTTGAGCCCCAGTTCTTAGTTTAGACACGTTTTCTTTTTCTATGCCCGAGTACGCCATGTTTCGAGTCGTCGAGCTGTTGATCCAATTGTCTTTAAAGTTGTGATACACGTCGGCGTGACGATAACTCACGATTTCGTGACCTTGAAGTCTGACGCTGATTTCGCTGACTAAATTTCTGGCCATATTGCCAAAAATGGTTCTATTGTTGTCGCCTGCACCGTCGAGTTCTAAAGAGAAAGCTAGTTTACAAGTGTCGGGTACGATCACGTCGTCTACGCCCAATTGAGGAAACTTGACCCTGAGCGTTTGCCCCGCCGATATACTACTGGGATTGTGGGTAATTACCACCTCTTTTCTCTCACCCTTGATAGATCTGGGTATTTTTAATAGCCTGCTGGGATGGAGCTTTTTTCCATACGCATTCATTTTATTTATACGAGTTTTAAATTTAAAGATATCTGTAAGCCAAGAAGCCCACCAAAAGCGTTCCTCCCACGATAAACACCAGGTCTTTTTCTATTTGTTGGTCGCTAGGCTCGTAAAAATCTTCGAGTTTTCTCCGGTCATTTCGTTGCAGTAACGCAACGCTTTGTCAACGTCGTAAAATGTTTGTTAAGAAACATTTTGCTTTCTGATACGTTCGTTGAGAAAATCGAGTCGTTTCGTTCGTTCTCGTTGCCACTGATATCTGGCGGCCGAGGGGGGTTTCTGTCGCTAAATCACGTCTCTTACGCTCTTCGCTGCCATCATCCCTTAGACTTGAAAATAAAAAGTTTGAACCAGAAAAAGCTAAGGCGTTGACGATCGCACCTCCTATCATCATAAAAGCAGCTGACGCCATCTATTTAATGTATAAAGCCTTTTAAATTATTATTATAATAAATGATGGATAAACTTCAAAAACTGTATTATAGCCCGAGCGGTTATTGGAGAGGTGAAAGCGCCGTCGACCATTTACACGATAAAACCAAAATCGATAAAAAGGTAATCAGAGATTGGCTTAAAAAACAAGCGATTTGGCAAATTTATCTACCGGGTCCTGCGTATGTACCCAGGCCTACGAGTACATCGCGAGAGTTTGAAACACCAAACGACTTTCACCAAATGGATGTGCTATACCTACCCTGGGATAAAGTAAAACGCAAGACTTATAAATACGCTTTGACGGTTGTCGACGTTGCGAGTCGATACCACAAAGCAGAACCTTTGGTTTCTAAAACGGCGGATTCCACGCGGGATGCTATCGTCAAGATTTACGCGAGATCGCCTTTGAGTTACCCTAAAACGTTGAGAGTAGACGCCGGTACCGAATTTAAAGGCGCATTTAAACAATGGATGACCTCAAAAAACGTCGAGGTTATCGTAGGCGAACCCAGAAACTACCGATCGCAGGGTATCGTAGAAAGATTTAATCTAACGCTAGCCGAGAGGCTGTTTGGTCATCAGTACGCTCAAGAAATGTTAAATCCCGAGAGTAGAAACACGCAATGGGTCAAGCGATTACCCAGCGTGATCAAAGCTATAAACGACGAAACGACAAGATTAATAGCTAAAGCGCCGTCACAGGCGATTAAACTAGAACAGGTCCTAACCCCGTTAAAACAAAAGAGCAGAATTTACCGCAAGACGCTATGGTTAGATATTTATATTACCCGGGTGAGCAAGAGGGGGGTACTGCGAGAAGAGCCACGGATCCCATTTGGAGCGTGGACATCTTCAACGTGGAAAAAAGAACGAGTCAATTTAAAATGATTAACGGTAAAAAAGTCACGACGGGTCCTACTCTTTATTACCTTCAAAACGGCCCAAAAAGGAGTTTTGTGAGACAAAAGCTTCAAGTCGTACCCGAGGACACGCAATTACCGCCGTAGTGACCAAAAGCCAGCGTGTTTATACCGTCCGGTAAAATGTACCTCTTTGTGTCCAACGGACTCAACGATAGTTTATTTTGAGATACGGTGTAAAGGATGTGATTTTCCGACCTAATGTGAGTCATGGTTTCGTAATGAGATTTCTTGTTTAAGATGCAGTCGTAATAGTGTCGGTGTTTTAATTTCTTAGAGGTGACCGATTTTGTGACTCCCTTGGCTTTTTTCAGGTTGATGTCAGCGGTTAAAATGGAGTACATTCTTTGATTATTTTACCTCCAAACTCGTCTTTAAATTTACCGATCACTTTCTTATTGGTTGGGTCGTACAAAGGATGATCCATCGAATAATTCGAAAGGTCGTATTGTTGTCCGTTTTGCTGCATATCTTTGTATACGTCGTCAGTGTAGACGCTTAAGAGTAAACTGTCCGTGTCAGTATACAGTAATCTGACTCGGTCTCCATACGTCGCTTTCATTCGATTATAATAAAAATCGTACATCAGCGTCTTTGAGAGATCCAAGATACTCACTCCGCAGTAGATCGGTTTGTTTAACACGGTTTTAGTCTTGTACATTTCGACAAATGACAACTCGCATTCTTTAAAGATCGATGTCTGTTTGTAGTTTGGTTTAGACACTATCATTTTGTATCTTTTATGCTCATCCTCTCTGAGTAACTTTGCGTCCATTCTATTTCTAACGTCTTCCATCGTTTTTCCAAAAACGCTATTATTCATGAGTTTAAAAAAATCTTTTTTAAAGTTAAAAGTCGCTTTAGTTCTGAGTTGAGTGTTTTTATCGATGTACGACTTCATCCAAGGCTTCTGTTTAAACCCCAAGACGCGATGTACTTTTTTGAGTTTTAATCCGAGCTCGATATAAAGCTGTAAAGTGATGTAGTGCAAAACGTACTTGCGTTTGGGTTTTAGCGTGCCGGTTAATTTGGGTACTTTGCTACTAGGCTCGGTATCCAATAACTCGTTTTGATAATCAGACATCCATTCTTGTGGTATGATTATGTTTTCTGGCGCTAGCGGGTAATCGTTGTGCCAATCGTGAAGATTGGCTGGGTAATCGAGGTCTACCTCTAAGAAATAGCCCGTATCTGACGTTTTATCAATCGACATGATATACTCGGTATTAAATTCCTTAGGCTTTAACCACTTAAAATCTTTGTACGGCAAGTACTGGCTCATAGCCCAACCGTATAGGTTATTAGCGTCTAGATAGGTCACGTAACTCGTTGGTTTATCCGGATCGTGGTCGGGCAGATATTTATTGTTTGCTTTGTGATATCTCGCGCTACCAACGCTCGACATGCCTCCTCGTTTTGCTCTTTCAAAAAATAAATGTTTGTCTACGTCTTGCAATAGTTCGAGTTCTATTTGAGAGTGTTTTAACAGCGCATCCCACGATAACCCGGGTGCGGTAAAATAATTAGCCGGATCTAACTTATAATTCTTTTTACACACGCCTCTAAAATTCTCAAACACGCCGGCTAGTAATAACGTGTCGGTAGTCACGTACAAGTCGTGATATTCGCCCAAGTTTTTTTACCTTAAACTCTTTCCACACTCGTCGAGCTCTGTCATAGTCTTCTCGCGATATCCCTTCGTCTTTTAGACTGCTGTAAAACTTTTCGATTGGTGGTAGACTGGTCTCTTCAAATTTATCAAACGAGTCCATATATTCGTAAGGGTAAACTCCTTTTTGTAGTAAAAGGTCTAAACTCTCTGGCGAATTTTTAAAATGTTTTCTCAGTAAAGTAAACGACTCTTTTGGACAAGCTTTGACTAAGTTGTCAAATAAAGTCTATAAATCGTAGATTTCCGATTGAAAACGAAATGTACTTTTCTGAATTTCTAGGGATACAATTTAGTTTACCTTTGCAAACAGATATGCCTTGCATGATCAAATGCGCGTCGTAATTTTGTAAATTGTGTAATATGACCGGTATAGTAGTACAACCAGGTTTAACACGTAGCTTGGTGTTACAGTAGGCTTGCGCGGCACCTCTATATCTACCCGTGACATGGCAGTGATCTCTCACCTTTCTAAATTTGTTGATCTTCTTTTTGCATTCGAGACATTTAGACTTGATAAATCCATTTTTTGTTTTCGTATTGATGTTCTTTTATTTGTTTTTCTGTTTTTGGTTTTTTGGGTTTCTGGCACTGACAGTTGCTCGAGTAATTGGGATAAATTGGTTTTTCGCAAATCCAACACGTGTTTGTTTTATCATGATGTTTTTTATCTCGCTCAGTAAATTCCATGGGTATGGGATCAGCAAATATGCAATTAATATCACGTTGTAATTGTAACATCTGCTCTACAAACTTAGTTGTGGCGTCTTTGCCCCTGTAAGTTTCTCCATACATATTGTCACCATCACATCTAACGACTACCAACGAATAACCGCTTGCTTTGTGAATGTTTGTCTTTTGCGTGTTTTCCTTTTTATCGTGCTGATTTTTTTCTAGTACCGATTCAAAGTCGGCGTAAATGACAAATGGTGCGTCCTGTGCAAATCTGTGGTTTTCTCGGGAAAAACGATTTTAGACGGAGGTTTGTCTATTCCCTCACAATCTTGTTTGTGTCTGTCTAGTTTTTCTTGCGTTCCGCAGTGTGACAAACATCTTCGACAGAAATATTTCTTGTGTCGATCTGCCGTTACGGTATAAAATAATCTTGAAAATAGTTTTATCCAACAGTAGTGACTCTTATCACCGTTGGAAAACAACAACAGATCGATAGCCTCAACGGTAGGATCTGTGTTTTTAGATAATGCCAATACATGTATGTTATCTTGTTCAGTATAACCAAAAACGTTTATTGATAGATTATTTTGTCTTTCTACCCTATACATTTGATCCACTGGTGTGGGAAAGTCTATATTTTCGAATTTCAATCCATTGTTCGTGTTGTATATCGTAGTTCTCTCTTCATGGACCTGATATTTTGGGTTGTTTTCGATTCGCTTTTTTACTTTGTCCGAATATTTACCAAGAGCGGCTCTCAAACACCATCTCAAACATTCGTTGTCTTTGTTTTGTACGTTGATAATCGCCTTTTTATTTTTGAGATAGTCGGGTAGCTCTACGTAAGAACTACCTTCTGCTTGAGCATAACGGTTTACGTTAATGTAAAACGCGAGTATTTTATCGACTACCCAACCTGATCCTCGATTTGTATGACTCGCGTGTTTTTCTTTTACTTGATCGATCGCTTCTTTAAGAATTTGCTTTACCCGACTCTCCCTCAAAATAACCACATTGTTACTGATAAAGGTAAATTCAGCAGTCACCCGTTCTCCATCAGGTACATTTTTAACGTATCTCACTGTAATCGCAATCTGAACCTTTATGTTAGTGAGTTCTCTCAGTTCTGATACGACTTTGCTTTCGATCTGTCGCTCGTGAGTGCGACAAAACAGTTCAACGTCATTATTAAACTGTCTCGGAATCAGTTCCCAGTTTCGAAAGTTATTTCTAAACCTTCTCGTACCTCTGAAGTCAGCCTCTTGAAAATGTTCGGGAGATTTAAATCTCTTGATCGCTGAGAATAAATCTTTTTTCAAAAATCGACCATTATAACCTGTCGGTACGTATTCTAGATTTTGTTCGTCTACAATCTGTTTGAGCTCATGTAGTGTCTTTTTCCTCAAGTTTTTAAATTTACTCTCTTCAACCCTTATGGCTTGAATATAGTCTTGACGAGTATAATTTTCTCGTTCATCGATCGCTATATTATTTTGATCAACGTAACTCTTCAATGCAGCTTTAACCCACCGCGAATAGCCTTTAGGTGATGGCTTTGAGTTGGTCTCCATTTAATATATAGAGATATTATCTCTTCAAATATGGACTAGATAATATTTTTTTGATTTAATTTTTTTTAATAAAACCAAAATGTTTATCCACTGACTTCAGAATTAGACTCGGGAATAAAGAGGGCCAACTTTGAATTACAAGTACATGGGAAGTGAGTTGACACTATTCGAGAGTGCATGAGAATGCATATGAATAGATTTTGAGCGGCCTTGACCGGTCAAATCTATCATGCTTGAAATGGGAATTTTCCAGTACAAGTACACACAATTGTGTATTGTGTAATATTCTCAAAATTCCGAAAACAACAACCAAAAATAACCTACGTCATTGTAACTATGAAACACCGTGATAATCATGACAAATCAAACAGTTTACTAGAACTGGGGTTTTACACAACACACAATTGTGCAATGTGTTATAGTCTCGAATTGGAATTTTCTAGAGATTTCCAAAATTGCAACCACATATGAAACACCGTGATAATCATGACAAATCATTTTTTTGGTTATATAAGTAGACAAATGAACAGCCCTGCCATTCAACAGACATTCTACCCAGCAGATAGACGTTCATCAGCCTAGCAGCATCAACAACTGCAGTAAAAATACAGAGCAGTAATATCTACACTTGTTTTAATCAAGCAACCCCACTGAAAAGGTAAACTATAAGCTATGTTTTTTACTAGAATTTTTAATAAAAGTATGTGAGGGAGCTGTACAGTACGTAACAAAGTTTTAAAGTTAACTTTTAACTGTTTAAATTATTGTTATTTCTTCAGATCCTAAAAGAGGAATTGAGACACTACGTGAAATCCAGCAATCCAAACAAGTTGTCTGCACCATCGAAAGGTAAACATAAATATTCACCCTTGACTAGTGTGGTATATTCCCCATAAATTGTATGAAAAGTACTCACAATAATCGGAAGAAAACGACACAATTTTGCAATAGCGTACAAGACTCACGTTCCACACAACAACCTTTTACAATTTCAACCCTGGAGGGCGCTATCACACAAATGCATGTCAACTAGATTTTTGAGGAAGGATATGAGCAGTTGCAAAGCACATAACAATTGTTTGTAAATAACTTTCAACTTTTTTAGTATTTGTATTTTTTTCCGATGCAACAGCAATCATGACTACTATTTGTAACAAAAGGTTGTCTGAATACTACATCAAAATTACCATTTCATAAAAAGGATGAAAATATATATATGCCACTATATTTATTATTTTTTCGTTCTCTGTTTTTTTTTTTTTTCGTTCTCTCTTTTTAGAAACACTATGGAGATTCCAAGGCAGACCATTGGTATAACTCACGTTGAGGAGGGTCTAAACGAGGCAAACGGAATCATTTCCTCGTTCAGCGACTGGTGTGTTGTGGGATTCGTTCAATGCTTACAGGTAGTAGCACAGGCAAAGAACTGATATCGACTCCACAGTTTAATGATCACGTTGAAGCCCTTCAGCGCCGTTTTCGTAATCCACCACCACTCCCCATTTTAGAAGTACACATTGATGAACCTAAAGATGAGCAGCCTCCAGTACCAAAAAAAAACCCTGTAAATCACCAAGAAATCTATGAAAAAATAAAAACCCGTTATGAGCCATGGCGGCAGCCAGTAAATGAGGATATTCCAGCTGTACCTGTAAATCAACGCCATAGTTTAAGTTATTTAGAAACATGCATCAAAGACTGTAATAAAATATACAAAAATGGGGAAAACAGGGCTTTGTTAAACGCAGCAAGGTTTGGGGAATGGTTAGAAGTGTCGTTTCAAACATTTCGAGAAGATAAGAAAAGGGGGAGGGTACTTTCGCCAAATTTCGATTTATGGTTAAAAAACAATTGCGGCATTGGGAAGAAGTGGGCAAAAGTATTGAGAGAATTTGACGATCTAACAAAGGATTATCCCCAATTAATTTACTGCCGCCTACCCTTAACTTTTTTCCGAAAAAACAAAAAGCATATAGTGAATTTTTTTAGCATACACGACAAGGAAGGTAGAAAATGGGGACACCGATTAGATTGCAAATGCAAACACTTAGGCCCCTTGTAAATAAGATTTTTAACCATTAGCACAATGTCTGGATGTCAGTGGTCTCGAAAAGAGCATTTTGTATGAAAAACTAAAATGTGCTAGACAATTATTTAAACAGAACTCTGACATCATGCTTATGAATAAAATTTGTTTGACAAAGAAAAGGGAACTGGCAGTTCCCTTTAGTTCAATAGAACTCTGATGACATCATGCTTATGAATAAAATTTGTTTGACAAAGAAAAGGGAACTGGCAGTTCCCTTTAGTTCAATAGAACTCAGATGACATCATGCTTATGAATAAAATTTGTTTGACAAAGAAAAGGGAACTGGCATTAGTTCAATAGAACTCTGACATCGTTTTTTGATCTATATTTATCATATTATATGTTGTTAAAGTAATATGTTTTAATGGTAAAGTCAGCCGTTTTTAATAAAGTGAATAACTCAGACATGTAAACCTAAGAAAACGTTGTTTGTCTATTTTTTTATAAGTATTGATAGAGGGCGCCACCAGTTGCTGTGAGTCTGTGTAAAGATCTCCAAGACGGCGAAAGATATTTGATAGTAAGAGCCTGGTCTGGTGCCTAGACAGAGGGAGATATGGGGTTTGTCGCCGTACCCCCCACTTATAATATAACAACTCGGAGAGAGAAGAGATATATTTGGGGAGCTAGAGGGGGAGATATATTTGGGGAAGGGGGATCTATTTTGGGAGAGGGGGATCTATTTCGGAGGGGGGTCATTTGGAGGGGAGGGGGGTCATTTGGAGGGGAGGGGGGTAATTAAGGAGGGAAAGATAATGGGATTTGGAATAGTGCCTGTCCATCTCCCTACTATGCGATCTTTTTGAGTACATTTTCCCATAGGGACCGAGCTGGTTACGGACCGAGTCGGTCACGGACCGAGTCGGTCACGGACCGAGTCGGTCACGGACCGAGTTGACTCGGATCGAGTTGGTCACGGACCGAGTTGACCTGAAAGCCTAACCACAGTCATTGATTTGAACCAAATAAGCGATTGCGTCATGTTTTGTAATCTGGTAGACCGTGAGAAACAATTTGGATGGGAGAGCAAATTCACTGCACATTTACGTGACAGTAAATTTTATTTAATTCAAGCGCAATCAAGAATTTGACCAAAGTATGTACAGTAATGATGTGCATAAACCCGAACGAAACCGACTCGACCGGAAATCGACTTCGGTTCGGGTCGGGTTGGTTTGTCCATATTTTCAGTCGGGTTGGATCGATTTGGTTTTGCTTTTTCACTTTCGGGTCAGGTCGGGTCGGTTTAGCCATCTTTTGAAAAAAACGAAATAAACCGAAATAAACCGAAATAGTTGAGAAATTTTAAGGTGATGCAACACTATTGACAGTCACTGTGACCGCAGCCCTAGTGTGGTGTGGCCACCGAGTGCACTATCAAGTTCCCACTGTATTCATTTCTCCAGTCGGATGGGACTGACAGTGAAATAGATACATTGTAACAGTTTTCATGATACCGCGTGATGATACCATGCGTTTGTTCAATAAGCGGAGTAATACTCTCGATCAACCCACTGAGTATGACAGAGAGAGACATTACAATAAGTATGCACGGGCGAGGTGAAAAACTTTAATGAGCTCTGATATCATAATTTCATTTACATACAGCCAATTACAGCGCGATCTGGTTTGGGAAGTAATGAATACACATTTAGCGAATAGCGGTGACCTGATTTAGCCCCGGGCATACGCAGTAAACAAATGACCATTAGCCAATCAGCATGCAGTACCGCGCGTGAAGAACCAGCTGCACACGTGCGGCGAGTTGCACGCACACGCACCCGGCGCACACACAGGCCAAAATTGGGTTATACAGTCGATCAACTTCAGATTGATTAATGGTATAGGAATATTGAAAAGTACGTACATAACATTTTTGTGAATTTCATTCAAATTTGGTTTGAATATTCACCAGAGTTGACAGCAACTAGCTGTGCAGTTACTTTATGAATAAACTTCGTGACTGACAGGCAAATCGTAACCGTTTTCATGAAGAGACGAATTAAGTATTTCACTGTTTGAACAAACATTCGAGATAATCGCGTTTAAAGTTGGTCCTTTTTTTCATTTGACAATTTGAAACTTAAAGATGCATAAAATATGCAAGATTTAGGTATCAGAGGAAAGAAGAGCTTCTAATCTTCCTAAATGTAGCAAACTTTAAGAAAAATAGGTGATTAGTTTTGCAGAATTAATCAATTAAAAGAAGTGGCTGTTCGCGAAAACAAAAAAAAGACCAATTAGCAAATTCGCCCCTTCGTGAAAACATTTTGTGTTACAGTACGCGCAGATTCTGCCCCACTGCGCATGCACCTTGAAATTCGCCCCTTCATGAAAACATTTTATTGCACGCTCATGGAATTTGCCCCTTCGTGATATACGCGCCATTGTATTACAATGTATTTATTTACTGAAAATTTATTAATACCATAGAGTGTGGAAATTCGCCCCTTCGTGAAAATGCAAAACAGCGCTTTTGGCAAATTCGCCCATTCGTTAATTAGGTTAATTAAGATTTTAATTAATTTTTTGAAAGTATAGCCTCACCAGGTTGTAGATATTGATATATTTATTCATTTTCACCAAAAAAACACATTTCGAAAAACAGACGATTTTCATGAAATTCACCCCTTCGTGAAAACGGTGATGAAATAGACCACCCTGTATGCCATCTGGCCAAGCGACTCGGCCAGCTAAAACGCATGTATTGTTAATGGATGTCTGATAGTCAGTGTGCCCGAAGTGCAATTGCTGTCGTTTTGAATTCGATAAGTACGTACATAAAATTTTTCCACAAGCAGAAATATTTGGTTGCTACAGCAAGCAGACAAACTAAATTTACATGGGATACAGTTACTATGTTCAGTACCCGTTTCTTTTAGGAGTTGTGGTTTCAGTAAGTCGAGGGTGTATGCATTAGCCTATACCCATCTGTGTGTGAAAACAGCGCGTATTTCAACGCTGATCGTTTGTATGAAGGATGGCCATTTACTTGTAATGACGATGGTTTTGCAAAAGGGCAGGCACCAAAAAAGTGATCACTTTGTCCAAGCAAGGTATTCGGGGTTTTTTTTTCCAGTTTTTTTTCGGGTCGGGTCGGTTTGGGTCGGTTTTACCTTATTTTTGTCGGGTCGGTTTGAGGGAGTTAAGATCAGTTTCGATTCGGATTCGGTTTATGTCTCTAATGTTTCGGGTTGGTTTGGCCTGGTCAACCCGACCCGATGCACATCATTAATGTACAGGAGTATATCATTGGTTTTAGAAGTTTCATTTAATTTAATTTCATTTCATTCTTATTTCATAGGGGAACCTGACTCCAAAAGTTATCTTCCCATCTGACATATACACTGTTGACAGCGAGGGTTTGACATTGGTTATGATTGCTGCAAAGGCCAACCGTTGTGATAACCTTATGGTTTTACTGCACAATCAAAAATGCCCAATCGATGCTCAAGATCCAAAGGTAGGTCAGCTTTACTAGCTGGTGTTTTCCCGTCAGTTGGTGCATTTTGCCCTGAAAAGACCCCATGTGTAGAGGGACTGATCAATATGATCAAATACTACAATTTTTTGGCGTCATTTTTTTTTTTTTATGAAGCTTAAAGGTAAATTAAGAACATCAGCAATTGAAAAGGAAAAACAATTAGAAATAAGTAAATCAAAGAACCTAACATGTATTGTCTTGTTACTGCTTTTGGCATTCAGCAACAATTCGTGATTGTGTTCTATGCAACCATTTATGCCTTTAAAGCTAAAGTCCATCATTTGCAGCTATCCAACAAGTAACTGACATAATTATTGTTGAAAAACATACTCGGTTGAAAGATGCCCAGTAGTTAGGAGACTAAACTCCCTGTGAAATTATTATTTCTGGCATGCTGTCATATTGAAGAAATCAATGAAAGAAGGCCTTTCCAATGCACCATTGGAAATATCGGTTTCCATGTTGTTTGTATTCGTTGAAGCACGGAAGCATTGACACGACGCGTGTGCAGTTGCTTTAATTCGTCTGTTCAGTGCGCGACATCGCGTAGCTGCAATAGGCTCAGTGAGAACGTGTCTTGGACGCTGAATTCAGGCCCTATTTAAAACATGATTCAGTTACTTTTGATATGAAATCAAGATCCTAGAATGTTGTTTTTCTCAAAATATACAGCTGAAGCTGAGCTGAAAAATTCATCAGGTTAGTTGTTCAGCACCCTTCTTTAGATTTTGAGCACATTTGTTGCTTCAAACGAACAAAATGCACAAATTACAAGTGATGGACTGTACCTTTAATAAAGGCTTTTTGCATCGAAAGTTCAATGATATTATTATCCAAAGCAAATTAAACTGTTCTGTCAGATAAAATCTGATGATGCAGTTTTACCTAAACTGGAAGTTAAGGCAATCATTCTAAAGCATTTCAGATCTGCAGGAGAGTCTGCTTTGTGGATTGATAACAACTTCGTGCAAAGGGTAGCCATGAACCTATGGGTACTAGGCAGACTTCAGAGAACGCCATACGTGATACGTCACACGGTAAACTTTCCAAACAAAACTTTCCCGAATATGCAGCACAGAAAACTTGTCCAAAATGACAGATTTTGATTTAAGTGTGAGCCTACAGTCGGTCCACATGTTCTATGAACCTGCATTCATAACATGATAAGCTCAAAATGAGGTATTTCGGTGAATAAAATGTGCAAAATAAGTGAGATCTGTGGAGAAAGTGACAACTACTTCTGTACGAAGTCAATTCAAGCAAGAGAGAGACAGATTATCGCGTAGGCCATAACAAAGTACATCGCGTAAGTTTAAAGCACTGGGCCTGCATTCGACATAATACAACAATTTACAGATATTGTTTCGTAATTATTATGACAGGGATATTCAAATATAATCACCATGATTATAAACAAAAAGTAATTATGTTTAATGATTTTTATGGAGATAAATCAATTACATAATGGGCCTGTTTTACTTAAGTGTATGCATGGCATGGTCGCAGTGATGTGGTTGCAGTAAATGGTAAACAAATGGACTTGTCTCAAGGCGGAATTTAAGCCTTATTTCGAGTCGGATCGCCACAGTAATGAAACTTCAGTGGGTGTTCGCAACTGTTGTGATGGTTGACCTCAGTGCACACTGCAACAAAGGTATTTCTTGATAACTGCCATCACACAGGACAGAGGAATGGTCAAGCGTGTCGTAGATGACACGTTGAGGGGGCAGAAGTCTGTATCCAAAGGAAAGCTGGTCATGTTGGAGATAAACTGTAATTTGATTTTCCACAGTAAATGGTGATAAAAAAACCCAAATGTTGGATTTGTCTCTAATTGCCTTTGATCCAGTTAAAAACACCGCATTTGTATGCACAAGTTGTCGGCATGTGTCAGCATGGTCTAGCAGGGGTCTGAACTTCCCTGCGATGATGTCCTAGTACTTCTTTGCTATTGTAACATCTTTCAGTTTTGATACATCATACGTCTTCATTGTGTTTAGTTTTGGCTTTGTTTTGAAGCGTAGCTTGAGGTTGCAGATAACCAGTTGGTGGTCTGAACCACATCAGCGCTTGCAGTCTATTGTTCTAATGTTACAACCTCATTAGGCAATTTTATAGCTATCATTTCTCAGCAGTATGATAAGCTTTGATACTGATTATGCGCATATTGCATCATACAGGCATGCAACTTAAAAAAGAAAAAGAGGAGTCTACTTAATTCACTTACCCAAATAGCTACTACATATGCATATTTATTCAGTCAACAGGCTCAAACGCTAAAAGCCGAGTCGGCTTTCTTGAGTTATTGTTGTTGTTGCTTCTGTTTTACAGTTATTTAATAATAATAAAATTTGTTTAGAAAAAAAAATTGATTTCAAAATTACATATATTACTTAACCAAAAAAAAAAGGCAGTGCATTTTTTTATGACTCCATGGACGGGACCCAAGCTAGCTGGCTTTGGGCATAATTCGCCTGGAGATAGGTATGTCTCCCGATTTGTTTATCGAATCCTGTTCCGGAAGTCATCTTTGTTCCGTAAAGGCCTTAGGGGAGACAGTGCATTGTATACCCAAGTGCGGTTATTCTCAAAAAGGTCTGCTAGTCGCCCCACACATGGGTCCCCTGTTCCGGAAGTCAGACTTTCAGCTGTTCAGGAAACGTTTTTTTATTTATCATTATTATTATTTATTCGACCAGGACAAATCTTACAAACAAATATGACAAATAAAAAACGAGTACATGAACATTAAGGAAAAAAAAAAAAAGAACCAATAAAGAAGTAAACAAACAAACTATCAAACAAATCAATAAGTAAATAAGTAGACAATAAAATGAAAAAAAACATAAAATAACATAACATATTAAATAACCAAAAAAAAACAGTAGTAGAGAGCAACTAGGGGCCAACTCTGACTGGCTGAATAAATGAATGAATGAACGAATGAGGGTGGTGTATGCAGGAGGGGAGCTAGACCATGAAAGGGGAAAGTATTAACAAAGGACAAAACTAATGACAAAACATACGGAACAGGGACAACAAAAGTAAACTGAATTACTGTTGCTCGGAAGCATGCTGCCCCACGTATGATGAACGTTGAAAAGAGGATTAAATCAAACACAAAGGACAGGGACTGGGAGCAAAACAGGGCCTATATAATCACGACCTGCATACACCAAAAGTGAACGTCTAGGAAGCAACAGTGTTTAAACAGTCATCTTTTAGTTGACGGAGAAATGTTGGCAGAGGACATATCACAGCAGCATCCTGAGTTTCGGGTGGAACAGTGTCCCACAATCTGGGGAATCGATGGGAAGCCAAGTGAAACAAGGACTCAGTACGAGCACAGAGATGACAAAATGTGAGCGAGTCAGGATGACGAGGATTTATAGGAATATTCACAAGGATTGATTCGCAGTGAGCAGTGCCATGTAAAACCTTGAAAACAAAGGCACTGACGTGGTAGTTGCGCCTATTTGTTAGAGGATGCCAGTTTAGATGCTGTAATCTGTTTAGAGGAATACAGCGGTTTTGACGATTCCCTGTTCCCCGTTCGTTTCCCTAGCTCGCAGTGAGCTAGGGCCTAGCGAGACACGTACAGCGGGAGTATATCGCTGTGTTGTTGACTCAGGTCGCTCACTGGGACTCAAGTCGGACCTGAGTCACTATTTTTTGACTCGAGACTTGCCTTGACTTGGGAAAAATTACTTGAGACTTGACTTGAATTAAAAAAAATATGACTTGTGACTTGACTTGACTCCAGTAAATTTGACTTGCTGACATTAACAGGTTTCTCAAAGTTAAAAAAAAACACACAAATCTCTGGGTGTCCGTGCGCACTGGCATAATCGGTTGAAAGGATGCAGATAATACATAACGAATTGGCAACCAGCACACGATAGCTGGGAATCCTGAGCCTGCCACACGTCATGTACATGACTATCTATAAGCGTGTGATATGGACAAGGAATCATACTCATTCTCATGCGAGGTGAAGTTTGTGCCATGCGTAGTCTGAGTACCATCCGTTGTTATAGAGCGGTTATTCCATTGAGATCATAGACTACACGTACACACTGAGTGGTTTACCGGTAAGTGTGCTAAATGCAACTAGGGTATAAACGACTGGAAAACGGCTGCTACCCCCAATCTGTCATAAAGCAACAAGAATTGACATCATGTTTCAAACAAAAACATTCGGAAGGACATTTTTTCAGATGTCTTTCAAACATTCAACATTCATGAAATTGCATTTTTAGACTTTTTATATGCAAATAAGGTGTTTGAGAGAGGATGTTTGAAAAGTATGATTTTTTTAATCTCCTTACATTGCCTACTCTTGCTCCATCATCAAACACATAAACTGGTGCCTGTAAGTAGTATGTGCATCTAATATCTATATTTTTTTAAATGACTCGAGACTTGACTTGGAAAAAAATTGACTTGAGACTTGACTTGACTTGCTAACATTTGACCTGGGACTTGACTTGGAAAAGAATGACTTGGTTACAACTCTGGTATATCAACAGAGGTCGTTCCCTTCCCCGCTAACTGTCTCAGCTAGCTCAGGGACATAGTAAGCTAGAAGAGGACGTTTCGTTGGGTATGTCAACAGAGGTCGTTCCCTGCCCCTCGGCTGTCCTAGGCTATCTTGGTAGTGTGGTGATAAACGAGATAGCGGTGAGACCCTTGTGGGTATATTGGCCACTGGCCATTCCCTTCCCTTGGCCAGCATGCCTAGCGTGTAAAGAGGAAATTCGTGGGGTATATCGACCAGTGGTCATTCCCTTTCCTTCGGCCGTTCTCAACTATCTCGGTGGTGCAATAGTACAAGTTACGAGATAGTAGTGAGTCCCACGCAGGGAAATTCGCCGTAGTCTGTAACGGTCACCACGTGTTCCACGATTTGACCATCATCAGACGTACGTCCTACGGTATGGAACACCGTGATGGCACCGTGGATAAAACTCCCTGCACAA